TTCTTCTTCTTCTTCTTCTTCTTCTTCTTCTTCTTCTTCTTCTACTTCTTCTTCTTCTTCTTGGTGTTCTACCCTTTGTTCTTCTTCTTCGTTTCTTTTGTCTGATGTATGGGGGAGTTGCTGCTCCTGTGTTTGGTTTTCTGGAGTCTGATGGTCGCTGAGGATTCCTGAGTCTCTTACGCTGTTTCCGCTATGAGAAGGGGTGAGTAGGGGGTTGATAGGTGATGTCTGCTCGTCGGTAGAATGCTGTGTTTGCTCGGACTGGGTGTTGTGTTTTTCTCTTATTGCGATTATGGACTTTAGTGCTGTTCTGGCTTTGTCTACACTTGAGTAATTATAAGCATAACCCCTTTTGGCTAATTCGACTATTAATCGGTCTTTTGCAAGCCGGTATATATCGTTTGGATTACCTTTATGATCGAAGGTAGTCGGGCGGATATCTAATTGTTCCTCATACTCTTGTATTGACGCGTATTTAACAGAGAATGTAAGTACTCTTTTAATTTCAGTTTTCTCGCACTCGCTGGTGTTTTTGTTTAGTGTATTTTTTAAAAATAGAATAATTTTTTGTGGATCTATACGTTTCAACTCGTCTCTTATTTTATATGTTGTAATGTGGCTATCTAAATTAGTTTTGCCTTCTTGTCGGAGGAATGGTAAGATTTCGACATATGTTAGTTTGAATGAAATTAAATCTATGAGTAAATTGAAGGTATGCATTTCACGAGCATGGCACGGCACGGCATGGTTCGAGCGAGCATTTCAGCTGAAGGCTGCTAAATGTACGGTTGATCAGTGAATCTTGTACGTTGTTTGTATTAAAAAGGGGATGATAAAGGGTTATCCAGATTTAGTAGAAAAAAAAAAAATTTTGTATTTAAGGTTCTTGGCTGGATGGATGTGTCGAGTTGTGTTGTGACACTGCGTTCGGTACGCGAAAAAAAAGGGTTAAAAAAAATAAAAAATAATTATTTGGTTTTACGATAAAAAAATTCGACGCAATAACTGCAATAGATTATTTAAACATCCCTAGTTCCAGTTGTAAGCGCTCGCCCGGCTCGAGATTACAATTGTGAACATAGCGATGTGGGTTTTGTTTTAGCACTCAAAAAAAAGAATAAAATAAAGGTCTGAAATGAGTAAACAATAATAAAAAAAAAATTTGAGAGGGAAGAAAGCGGACTTTTGTTATTTGCAGGCGAAAAGCAGCGTTGCAATGTGTTAGCTTACTAAAGTGAAGAGATAGAATTTCAGTTCATAGATACAGAAGTAAATTAACAAAAGGCAAACAAACAACAATTAAGGGCAAATTTGAGGATACTGAATGTTTTCCGCTCTTTCTGCACCTGTAAGGAAACACACACAAATAGTAAATTTACCAATTTATTATAGACTGGCACTGGTTTTTCTTCGTTATCTGGAGATCCTGAAATTCCTGATAGTTGTAACGCGAAACGCTACCAATGAGCTGATCAGATAATGGAGTAAAGGGGGTAGTTGACGTCTTCTAAAAGTGTCAATTTTCTGCAGGTAAATTGCCTGGTTTCCGGAAGGGATTTTTTTAAAAAGTCACACACAAAGATAGTGGGGGAAATGAGTAATTTAACTTGATCAAATTTCTTGATTTAATTCTATGTAGATCAAAATGGCTTTCTAGTGGCAAAATTATAGTGAATGAATGTAATTGTCGAGGAGACTGCTACAAAAGAACGTTCAAAAAAAAGGACATGAAGAATGGGGAAAAAAACGAAAATTTGAAAGTGAAAAGTTTAGAGTGAAAGAGCACTGAAGAGTAAGCAAGCAAGCGTAGCACAAATACTGAGTGAAAGGGCTCTTACTTGGGGAATTTTGCGCTCTCACTGTTCTCTATCAATTGTTTCTGTAATTGTATCCAATAATCCTAAAGCACGTAAGATGTTCGTAAGATCTAAAGGTGCCTGTAATGATCCGTTTGGGATTTGCTGCTGCTCGGCGTTAGGAAGATTAGATAGGACACGGCTGACAGTATTTTTACGTTTTTTTGGCACGATGTAGCACATGAGAATGGAATATTACCGAAAAATATGGTGATAAATGAGGTAAAACTCGTAATTTTTGAAAATTTTGTCAGGTCGGAAAATTGGGGTTCAAAATTTAAGAAAAAAAAGAAAAATAAGAATAAAAAAAATATCGCTGAACGGAGTGTGTGTGGAGAAGAGGATGTGATTAATTGGGGCAACTATGGCCTCTTGGCCGTAATTTTTAATAAAAGTTAATTTTTAGGTAGAGCAAAGAGTGTCTAAATTTATTGTAACAGAAAGAAAATTTTTACTTGGAAAAATGACCTAAAGTTTTTGAAAAATTTAACGCGATTAAGTTGAACTTAAAAAAAAAACTTCAAATAATTTATAAATAAAATAAAAATAAAATTTCTAAAAATTTTCACACTCAAAAAAAAAAATTTTGCTTGGCTGCGAATGAAGTACGGGACAATAGCACACTCCGGGGAGTATAGTGTTATTACCCGGGGCCGGCACCACTTATAACGTGCTCAGCTCTCAAGGGCAAGTAGCTGAACACGTTGGGGATGGTCGCAGAATGGGGGCGAATCCACCAGATAGGGTAGTCCTAGAGAAAGGGGAAATGGTCTAGGGGGGGATGTAAGAGCCCTATCACTCTAATAAATGGTCACCTACCTTGAGAGTGGTATCCTAAGGAAAGAATAAGACTCACAGTCTAGGGGTGGCCGCTCGTGTATTGGGTAAAACGATAATGATGGTATAAAATGATGGTATACAACTACAACTAGGTCACACAGACCTCTAACAACTATCACACAGATACAACTACTACAAAGGGGGAAGGGGTCTCCAAACAGGAAGAGCCGTCGGGGATGCTGCCGCAGGACGGGACTTTCGGCGTGGGGAGGGGTGCTCAAAGCTCAATCACCGGGGTGAGACGCGGGATGGGGCAACTTGAGGAGTCGAGGACTCAAAAGGGGGTGAAAAACCGCTGGGGCGAAAGGGGGGTCGGGGACGTACCGTAGGACCACAACTTTCGGCCGAGGGATACTCGAGGGCTTGACTACGGGGTGAGACACGCGTCGGGGTCCGCGAGGAGGCGTTGGCACATAGGTGGCGAGACGACTGACTTCAGGGGATTTCAGAGAGCTCCTCGTGGGCCCCCTAGGCCTGCTAACTTGGGCGTCGTTTCCCACGGTTAGCTCGCCAAAATCCCCTGACCAAGCATGTCATATCCGTCAGGACTCCGGAATCCCCGGAAAGCAACTGGTTAGGTTGCCGCCCCGGGGACCTCGGTCGCCCGGCGCCCGAGTCTGGGGTATACGCAATTGGGGGATTCCTCGGGCTATCTGACAAGGCTGTGTCTGGTGATGTCACCGAGCGATGTCACTGACGGATGTGACAAGCTGTGTCATGAAAAACTCGCGGATCCACCGA